GAAAGTCCCGTGCGGTCCCCGCACCAATCCGCTAAGCGGATGGGGGGGCGAAGCCCCCCAAATGCCGGCGCGTAGCGCCGGTACGCGGCGCGAAGCGCCGCGCATAAATTGGCCGGAGGCCAATTTTTTTATTCCGCGGTCAGAAAAATTGATTTCCTTTGACTCTTTTGATGATAAAAAATTTAATGAGACATCGGGTTTCTCGCATTCTCATTGGAGGTAATATATTTGCTACAGACCCCGCACTTCTACAAATTCCTTCGGAACTTACCTACCTGTAGTGCAAAATGTATTTTCGATAGTCAACTATCAGATTCGCTCAATGATGACTGATGCAAGCAGCTAGGCTTTGCAGTCCTAACCTAACTTACCCATCAAAGTGCTTATCCAAAGACAAGAGGCCCCCCACTGGCCCCTTGACGATAGGCGGATGCTTTTTCCTTTTGAGATTCGACACTTATTTTAGGACAATTAGGAGCAACAGTCATTTTACTTACCAGGTGAATGATGAGTTTTGGGTAACGTAATAAGCCAAACAAGTTTCCTAAACTGCGGTTTGTTTACCAAACGAAATTCTCAACACGTTGTTGACCATCCAACTAGTATGGTCAACAGTTGAACGTCGGAGTCCTAAAAGTAAAAGCTCCCACCATTGTCAAGATACCATTGTCTCTGTTCTTACCCCGATATTCATCAATCATCATCAGGCGAATTTTATTCGATTTTTCACTCAGAAAGTTGCTCATCAACCACGAGCAGGCGAAAAATAGCGTTGACCTCCGAATTCACGATACCTTTACATCCCTCGATTATTTCGCTCGGATTCTTATCGCGGGATTTCTAATATCGTCTCGTAATACATTGTCTCTGGTCGGAGGAAAGTGGCGGAATGTTGGAGCGTGATCTGGATGACACGCCCACACATCCGCGAGTGAAAAATTGAGGCGCGTGTGTCCAACTCCGACGCATCATCGGTGAATCGGGTCTAATGTCCTCCGGATTATATTAATCTGCCAGTAGGTCGGAACGAGGATTAAAAACTCAAATTTCGACGGCGAATTACGGACGCCTCTGCTGTACCGATGAATGGAGACGTTTTGAAACTAGTCCTCGCTTCACTTTCACCCACACTCGCGCTTCGCAAAAAACACCAACCTGCATGCGGTTTTCATTCCTGTTGCGCGGATATTGATTCGCATATAGTAATGCGTGAATCATCGAATATTAATATTTACTAACTGAAGCAATTGTAAAGAATCGATTACTGAGGTACACCCTAACAATCGATCCTTTTCCATTGGTTTAAATAGCAAATCAATCGATTCATCGCGAAACGATTCATCCGGAATATTGCGGATTGTCTTCTCGTAACTCCCAACCGTTATATCGTCCGCCGCGCTGGCCCAATTCGGCTTATCTCCCAATGACAGAGCATCCGGTTAATGTTAAATTCTGTATCCGATGAACCCTAGAACACATTCATTCTTCCGGAACTCAGGGTTCTTTGAGAAACGCACATGCTCGGTTTTTACATTGACCGATTCGAATCATTAACTTTTCGATACTGGTGTTGCAATGAAAGCGGGCATTCGATGGATATATGTAATAATCGCTGTCTCAAAGGACTGACTGTTAGTGAGATCGGTAATCGGTTCAGCGGAGATTTTAATAAATTTCGCTTTTATCGATATTTCCAAAATTGATTCGACGAGCCCTAATTTCGCTCGCAACGATGTTTCTCTGATTGAGGAGGACAGCCTTCCGCGCGATTTAAGGTCCGAAAAATTGTGTCGCCAGCTGTTGATATGCTCTCGTATTTGCGAAGTGATTTTATTAACTTGAAATTTTATTTTACTTTCACACTCATGAAATACGCGCGTTGATTTTTTTTTTTTTCACCTTTTCGTTCGAGTTATGAGCTTTGTGTAATCAGAATACCTTCAGACCCCGAAGGATCTATGAAGTGTCCAAACTTTGACGCTCGGTGGACCTCCATTGCCTCGAACTTATCGTTTTCTCTCAAACTGAATTTTTGACTGCTTGGAGACGATTCACAACAAATTAAGCTCAAAACGGTATGAGTTTGTTAATTTTTGTTCAGAATCCCGCTGAACTCATTGCGCAATCAATCAGTGGCGAGGCGTGAATGATCGATTATCGATATCTCGCCATTTGAAGCTATAGTAAAGAATCGATTATTAAGGTGTTCGCTGCGAACACCCTGATAATCGATCTTTTTCATATGTTTGAGTGGCGTATCAATCGATTTATCGCAAAGCACGCCACGCCACTGCAATCAATAGTTGGCATTGAACGCAAAAAAGACGGCCGTCATGTCCCTCTTTGTGATCGCAAGCCGGCTCTACAAACCTCGAGCTATCTGAAAGTTCTATCATTTTCAAAGCTACTTCAACCCTCCTGCAAATCCTTACAGTCGAAAAATATAAATCACAGAAAACGAGCCGAATTCGTTTCTGAATGTTTTTCTCTTGAATTTTTCGTCAGATTCGAAGACTTCAGCGTGGGAAAGTCTCCTGCGCAAACAGCTCCATCGGTCGATGTTGAAATCGAACATTACGAACACCTGATGCGCCCCTAAGTACAGGCAATATCATGGAACTCAAGGCCCATCAGAAGGAGAACTTATGCGGTTTTAACATCGACTGATTCAGCTACGCCGTGGAGTGGAATGAAATATACCTGCGAAGGACTCGAGCTAATTTTATGCGTGAAAATTTCATCCCGGTCCCGACAACTGCTGTATCCGATACAGATGCCCACATTATCATACAAACGAGCATAGCACGGCTCGGAAGAAGGCCTGCTATCTCCTGAATTGCCTATCGAAATTGCCGTTGACTGCCGAAAATATTTCACCTTCCCTCCCCCCTTCTCCCCATCATTGTACCCACCGCCGACTGAAATTGTTTTCCTGTTTTCTACCGGGCCTGTGGCCCATTTCACGATGAAAAAGTCACAAGTCTCACGAGGACGTTTATTTCTGCTCTTCCTCGGTTTTCATTCATATCATCGATTTGTTTTTTTCCTTTTCTTGTTTTTCTTCGAAAACGAATTCAATTTTATGAGAACTCGAATCCAGGTATTTTTTCCTGAAGAGCTCGTTCAAACCGTTTAATTCCTAATGAAAATGTTAAAAATAAAAATGCTTGTTGGAGAATTGTGACTTTTCCGTCACGTAATGTAGCTTTGATGCAAATACAACGAAATGAAACGAATATATTTCGGGGGGTTTTATTCGTTGTATGATTGTTACCCCACGAATGGAGCGGTCACTCTCTCAGTGGCAGTTTCATGGTTCTCGATGCCCAACACAATCTGTTCGAGATCCCGATATCTTCCCTTTACTCTTCGTTTTCCCCCACCTTCTCCTCCTCCTCCTCCTCCTTCTCCTTCTCCTCCTTCTCCTTCTCCTCCTCCTTCTCCTCATCCTTCTCCTCCTCCTCTTCCTTCCCCCTTCTTTCTCCTCCTCCTTATTCTCCTTCCTCCCCTCCCTCTTTTTTTCTTCTACTTCCTCTTTCTCTTCTTTGTCCACTCCTTCTTTGATCCACCTTTTCGTAATCCTATCCTTTTAACCTCCTTCTTTCTTCTCTTTCTCCTCCTCTCGTTCCGTGTTTCTTCTCCTCGTCCTCTCCTCCCTCTTCCTCAGAGTTCCGCTACGTCCTCATCTGACATACATCAGGGGCTCTAACGCCCAAGCCTGTGAGAAGAGGATCAGCTTCCATAGAGAAAAAGAAGGAGGTGTTTGCATTTTGAGGTCTGTTTATCCTGTGACGTAGGTCGTCACAACCTAGCCAGCGAAATCCGGAATTCGAAGTATGAAAAACGGACCATAATGTCCCATTTTTTTGCTCAAATCAACTCATGATACAATTTCAAGCAATTTTTATAGAATGACTTTTTTCCATAAATTACACCATTTCCAAGAAAATCGATGATAAAAGTCGCCGTACCGACCTACGTCATCAAAAAAATCCAAGATGCCCGAAATGCAAATACCTCCTTTTTTTTCTCCATGATCAGCTTCCTTATGATATGAATACTTGTTTAAAACGATTTGTTGTTTGTTCCCAGGTGAAATATCGAGCCGAGACCCTCTGGACCGGGAGACGAAGTCGCTGCACGAGCTGGTGGTGGAGGCGCGGGACCAAGGGAGTCCCCCGCGGTCGGCCCGCGTCGCCGTCCAGATCACGGTGACCGACGTCAACGACAACGCCCCCGACCTGGTCGACCCGCAGGAGGACGTCATCAGCGTCCGCGAAGAGCAGCCGCCCGGCACCGAGGTCGTCAAGATCAGGGCCGTCGACAGGGACGACGGCAACAACGCCACCATCTCCTACGCCATCCTCAAAAGTAAGCCCACCCTCAGCCCCTCGTCTCTCACCCCTTAGTTGCACTGATTACAATCAGTTGCGATTACTCCTTCAAACCATTGCTACATCGACGGCATAAGTCCGCAATCACATATCGACGGTGTAAGTCGGCAGTCACATATCTCGTTTGCGGTGTCTGAAAATCTCCGCCTCTATGTTATTTTTTTGAAGAAAAACAAATTGACATAATTCCTTGAAGTTTTTGCAGAATTTTCTTCGCGCAGAGAAGAAAAATCACGGCAGTTTTAAAGAATTGCCGTTGAGTAGTTTTCCGTTTCCGTTTAAAAAAATAAAGTATGACAGGAAGTCTGCTACGTCGCAAACCGAGTTATGTGATCGCCGACACTCCGTCGACATGCTCTTGCATTGGAGTTTCGTATTTGTTGCCTATCTATTGATTGAAGAGGCTCCAGGGCTCCTCTTATTCAAATCGAGGACTTCTTCGGTAAAGTCCAATTCACACTATCAAACTTTTCATTCAATTCTTGGATGCAACTTGTCGTAATGGAAAGTTGTATAATGTGATACTGACGCGAGAAAACGACAACTTGATGGAAAATTGAACGGAAAGTTGAATGTGACGTCACATTCAACTTTTCAAAACTTCACATTCAACTTTAAATCCTTTTTGTCTTCTTTGTCTATCGCTTTGTCTACCGATTTCAACAATCAGCCCGCAGATTGTGATGAGTCGTGGAACGGTGAGGCGCAAGAGCATTGCCTTCGACGTGTAAATTGTACCCCAAAGCTCCCAGGGCCCAGGATGGCTAGAAAACTTGGCAATGCTACTTCCCACGAATAGCCGGCTACCCATTAGCATACATTCGTGTGCGCCTTGACCGATTTTTACGCATGCACTTTCTTCCCCCGTCCTTTCGTCTGTTTCCCCGCTGCGTTTTAGCACGGTGCATTATGAGTGTTCAACATGCCCGGAGGTGCATAGGTGCATACCTACCCGGCCGCTCCGATTATGTTGATTGGAGACTCATGAACGCGGGAGACTTGTGCCAAGCATTTTACTCGGGGAGCAATTTATGAGGCACCCGAGTTTCATTCCGCGAAAATTGTGTCCCGACTCCAAACCCGTGGAAATTAAGTCTTTATTTCTATGCCTCCCTTTTCCTCCTTCTCTCTCATTCGTCTCAGTATTTCTCTTCGAGTGGGTGGCAGAAGCGGATCCAGCAATTTGGCAACACCGGGTTTTCTCCATTTAAACCTATGCTGAATAATCGATTCTTGTCGGAGCACCTGGCCCCTCCAAGAATCGATACTTTTCCATAGGTTTCAATGGCAAAAAGACAATTTGCTGGCTCCGTCAATGGTAGGTGGAAACTTTCTACTTGCAAATAGTTAATGTTTCCTACATTAACCGTCAGATTTTTTTATAAAAAAGCAATGAGCTTTTGCAATTTTTTTTTCAAAGTATCTTCTTAGCGAATTTTTTCTTCTTTAAATGTCACGTTTCTTCTCTTTTCAACACTTTTCGAGGACAATTTTGTGTTTTCTATTGAAAACGTATATTTTTGTGCAACAATAGGTAATATCGCACTCATAACTTAATACTTGATTGAGTGGATTGAAGGACAAGGCGAATAAGTGCAGTTTTTGAAAAATTGAGATAAAAATGATTTCAGTAAAACCAGTTTTAGTGCATTTAGTGAAAAATTCGCTCCCAGATTCCACTCTGTAAGCATCAAAAAGTCAGTTAGAACTTTCTCTCCGCCATGAGGATCCATGTAATTTTGAAACTTCAAACACGTATTTCTTGAAATAGCAAAAACTGCACTTATACGCTTTGTCCTCCAAGCCCCTCAATTGAAAACGAAAACGAGTAACCAAGTTCGCCTTCAACTCGATGGATACAATTTGAGCGGCTTAGGAGTTCAAATAGTTGTATCAAGAATGTTAATCCAGCGCGATGTCCGAGAGGCGAGTGTTCTCGTTTAATCTTCTTGTTTTTAAAGAGCATCGCAGCAAAACGTCCAGTAATTTTTACCTCCTCAAATCTCCCCGTAGAAAACAATAATGATAATGAAATTGAGATAAATTGTGAAAGATAGAATGTGCTGCTCTCGCGCTCATATCTGATGAACTAAAAACGAGAGCGAGAAACCAAGTTCGCCTTCAACGCGATGGATACAATTTGAGCGGCTCCGGCGTTTAAATAGTTGTATCACGAATTTTGGTCGGGCGCGATGTCTGGCAGGCGAGTAACTTCAATTGTAATCTTCGTGTTTTGATTTTTGAATTAAGTAGGCCTACTTAGTATGCACTAGTGTAACCTAAATAGACAACCCTAGCATGTACTTATATTTTCTCCTGCTCCTCTCATTTTATGTTTTTCATCAGGTAAGAATTTCCTACTAAATTATGAATAAAGAATGCTTTTAGACAATATTTTGATGGTTTTATTGAAAGTAGGTAGAGTAGGTACCTCATTCTTAAGTTAATTTTTTTATATCTTCTTTTGCAATGTCTAATGCGATGAATCATATTTTGTTCTTTAGATCGTGACTCTGATGGTTTTAATGTCTTCACAATCGATAGCCTTTCTGGAGTAGTACGTACTAAAACCGTTTTAGATCATGAAGAAAAAACCGTTTATCGCCTGGCAGTTTCTGCATCTGACAATGGAACTCCTCCAAAACAAACGGTCAGACTACTTCGTGTGGAGGTTCTTGATTTAGCCGATAACCGACCAACCTTCACAAGCTCCAGTTTATCTTTCAAGGTATGCACAAATCACCACCTCTCGTGTCTCTGACTTGAAATTGAACCGCATTTTGCAATTACGAATTACAATTTTCAGCGCACTTAAGGAATTATGTAATCGCCATTAGTTTTCCTTTGTTGATAGGTGCTTTTACAAATGGGTCAGACACTTTAGTTCCTAACTCCAAAATGTACCTAGTCAAATTTTACCTTTCAAAAACTAAGCGCTCACTCACCATTTGTCACTAACAATGTCACGCCGTCAATTTCAACTGAAGAAAAACATTACACCATGAAAACATCAGTCATCCCTTAGAGTTGGCTTTTCTGGAAAAAAATCAAGCAAAACAGTAATCAAAAATTTCAAAATTTTGCATTAAAGATGTGTCCCTAGGCTTACATAAACTCTAGCGTTACTGTGTTCAATATGGAGCCAAGAAAATGAAGCCGTAAGTGACTAGGGAAGCTCTGGAGATTCTGCAGGACTCTGGGAACATCAAGCACGTTATGTAAACCATATTCTTGTATCAATTCCAAGCTAGATATCTTTGAGGAGTTTCCTTAAATGGAGTCCGATATACACCTAGTTCAGAAGGGATTTTTCATCACTCTTTTCATTCTAATAAACAGGAGAGAAAAAATATATTTACATATGTATTTGAATGACAAAAGTTTTTCCCTGTCCTCTATTTTATAAAGTTTCTTTTGTTCTTTCAGGTGCGAGAAGATGCTCCGATAGGTTTCATTGTCGGCAACATCGTAACTTCTGACACCTCAGGTCGCGCTGGAGGAGGACATGTAATGTATACTCTCAGTTCGCTTTCTCCCTCAAACTCAGAAGATATTTTTGACATGGATCGGAGCTCTGGATCACTGGTTGTATCACGTCAATTGGACCGTGAGATTCACTCAGAATATCGGTTAGAAGTCCGAGCCCTGGACACAAGCACCAGCACAAATCCTCAAAGCAGTGCTGTTACGGTGAGAGTAGAAATTACTGATGTAAATGACAATGCTCCTCACTGGGATACAAACCCCATTTCAATTTCAATCCCAGAAGATGCACCTGTCGGTTTTGCTGTTTGGAACTTCACAGCAAGGGATAGAGATTTTGGATCCAACAGCGACCTCCGTTATGGATTGGTTCATCAATATCCGGAAACTGAGAGCAAGTTCTCTGTTGATCCTCTCACTGGCACTTTGACATTAATCTCGTCAGTGGATCATGAAACTGTTTCTTCCTATATTTTGATCGTGAAAGCTACAGATCAAGCTTTGAATATGTCTGAGAGGTTGACAACAACGTTGACTGCAAAAATCATGATCAAAGACACTAATGACAATGCACCTGTTTTCGTGTCACCCGTATCGAAAACCGTCTATGCTTCGGATTTGGCTGAACCGAAGACCATCATCTTGAAAGCCATCGCTGTGGATAAAGATTCTGATAACAATGGCCGTGTGTCTTACTCAATTACTGGTGGCAATGATGATGAAATGTTTATCATTGACCGTGACACAGGTGTTGTCAGTTTGAGGAGGTCTTTCGAAAGCAACCGAAAGTCAGGAGGACGTTTCACGATCAATATTACAGCCAGTGATCATGGGTCTCCTCACAAGCGCCACACCTCCATCTCAGTGAATATCCTTTTGAAGCCTGTATCTGAAGCTCCTCCGAAATTTGTGTTGCCAACCTACCAAGCCAGTATTCCAGAAGACATGCCGACTGGACACACTGTGGTGAAAGTGGTTGCAAGATATTCAGCTCTCGGAGGAAGTATGTTAATTTTTATCTCTGTTGGTTTTGTCTAGTTTTTCAATGAAACTTGAATTTAATAGCATCAAGAGACCTCAAATTCTCATTTAAGTTTATTTATCCGGTCAGCACAAATGAATAACATAATAAAAAATCAATGCACATGCAGTAAAAACTCATTCTTAGTACTGTATGTGTGACTTATCCCTTGGGGAAATTTAAAAAAGGGGGAAAATTAAAAGTTACATTTAATCAACTTATCTGTTATTATCAGAGCATTATGGTTATACAACTGCTTATTCTTCAATTGAACGTTTAGTCTTCAAAAAGCACTCTGCTCTCCAGATCTCGTCCTAAAAAGAACGTGTTCCCCAGTAATAACGGTATAAAAATGTACAGTTTCACACACACTACCTTCCCCATCAATGCAATGCACCTCTAATTTTGTCAAAAAAAAAGTCAGCATACTAGAAAATTCTTCCATTTTAAAATATATTGGTATTAGTTTAGTGGTTGATCTAAACAGAGTGCACTCGAATTTTTTTTTATGAACATCAAGTGTGAATTGACGCAGTCAAAAAATGGTATTATCATAGTCTCAAGTCGAATTCAGAAATATTTAATGCAGTCATCATAATATCTGTAAAGTTTCGGTAAGAAAACACATTTTCGTGCTCAATTTAATATCCTGTCTAATAGTTTATTTCCGCAAGATTGGAACTAATCCTGATCGATGATTTTTCACAGATGGCTCTGGAAACTTGACTTACGCAATCCCACGGGGTGTAGCTGACGACAGATTCTCAGTTGATCCAGTCCATGGAAATGTCATTTTACAAAACAGTCTCGATCGAGAACTGAAGGACCAATACGTTATTCCTGTCTACGTAACAGACTCCTCCTCTCTCCAATTTGACGTTGCCAGCATCACAGTGAACGTTATCGATGTGAACGATCATGTTCCATTTTTCAAGCCGGGTTCATGCTACCCATTGAGCCTGCCTGAGAATAGTGACCTCTCTGTGATACACACTGTTGTAGCATATGACTTGGACGCTGGGTCAAACGGTGACATCACATACAGTATTTCTGGTAAGTTTCCTCAAAGCACAGTTATCGAACTTAATTTTCAGTTGCTAAACACTGCAGATCTGTTTGTATAAAGCTCTTATGGATTTTTCATTCAATTTTAGTAATTCGTAATCAGATTTATTACAAGACTGTACTATTAATGAACAGAAGGGTGACGGATTCCACGAATTGTTAGTGAAAGGACAAAATGACAAACTAAGTAGAGCGGTATACCGAGTTCATGAAAATGAGCAGGGCCTGCTCAAAGGCTGCCCAGGGGCTGCAATGTTTTTGTCAAGTTTGTCATTAATATGTGATAAAATTTACTTGTGTATTATTTTGTAATTTTGGAAAAATTCCTGGGGGCTGGTCTATATTTAGGGTAATTATGAACTGGATTTTCCTCTTCACTCAGCAAAAAACAATAAACAATGAACCAGTATTCTTGGTTAACTATTTTGGTCCCATTCCGTCACTGATATGTACTGGTCTTGATTTTCTACAAGTTTTTTTTAATAATCTTACGTTCAAATAATTTAATTTATTATTCCAACTCTCAGTTAATTTTAAATGACTTTTTTTTGGTCATAAAAAGGCTCATTTACCTTATTTTTGAGGTCGTAGTTTCATCTTTTTGTTCCGTCATCAAAATACTTGTACCAAGGAAACAGTCCTGTTCATTTCACTCAATATTTTTTTTTTTACTTTCAGGAGGTAATATCGGAAATAAATTCAACATTGATCCACACAGTGGAGAGCTAACCGCACGACCACTGGATAGAGAAACAGTCGCCAAATACAATCTCATTATCACAGCTCAAGATAAAGGAGCAACATCTCTTCATGGTTATTGTAACATCACTGTCTACGTCGAGGATCAAAATGACAATGACCCAAATTTTGTGCAGAAATCTTACAAAGCGAGCATTTCTGAAAATACTCCGATCGGTACAACTGTCCTTACAGTGAAAGCGTTGGACGCAGACATTGGCTTGAATTCCAAGTTAATCTACTCTCTCACGAATGAAAGTCACTGGTTGTTCAAGATTGACAATAAAACAGGAGCTATCACAACCACCGGGTAAGTCATCTTAGTATCAAAGCTTCCAGAAAAAACAAGACTTTTACAACTTCTCAGTCTCATCCCTGATTTAACTGTAATCATTAAAGTATTTGGAATAGAGGAAACAAGATGAGTGCATGATATCAAACTTTATTAAGAAAAATTATTTTTGTTAATGGTTGACATTTTGCTCAAGTACCTACTTCTTCACATCTATCGGAGTAATAAAATCTTAAAACCTGTATAAGGACTTTATTAACGGAGTAAATTAATGACAAGTATTTATCTTTTATTCACATGTAAACAGAATCAATCTAAAGAGGTATTTGTATCTCAAAGACAAAGATTTTACTCGGTACCCATTGAATTTTTACTCCGGGAAAAATTTCAGTATTTTAATTCTAGCTTTTGCAATACCCAAGGGGTCCAATACCAATGTCAAATGGGTCTCAGTTAACTTCCATCTTCCTCTGAAAATATCATTGTCATTTTTAGAAAAATATTACAATTTGGTTTTCTCTTTCGCCAGGCTCTTTGATCGTGAGAAACAGAGTGTTCATAGTTTCCAAGTGGTCGCTACAGACAGTGGACGTTACGATGTGCGCTTAAGCAAGGTTCCAGTTACAATCATGATCGAAGATGTGAACGATAACAGGCCAAAATTTTCCCGCTATCCCTTTTTTGTGGACATACCTGCCTACACCCAACCAGGGCATGATTTCTTCAAAGTTACTGCAGAGGACAAAGATGAAGGAACAAACGCAGAGATTGTTTATCGGTTCTCCAGTGAATCATCAAGCAACAAGTTCCATATCAACCCCAACACGGGCTCTATCTCTGCCATGTCTAGTCTTTCGATCGATGTGGGAAAACTGTATCATCTGGAGGTCATAGCGACAGACAAAGGAAATCCTCCGTTGAGTACCTCAGGCTTGGTTGAAATCAGGATTGGAGAAACACCAGAGGGCATGCCATCAATCAGGTTCCAAAACACCTCTTATCTTGCTCATCTTCCAGAAAACTCTCCTGCTGGGAAGCAAGTCTGCCAGGTATGATATCATCCTTAGTCAAATTTGTTTAATCATTCAAAGGGTCCTTAAGAGCCCTTTTTAAGTTTTTTCGTAATTTCAGCCCTCATGAAAAATTGCAATAAAATGCATACAATAGTCAGTTATGCTAAAAAATTGGGTGTAGAAACAAATTAAAATGGTTTTCATAGTTAGCAATTTTCATCTTTCTGTATTTCTTACTCACATGTTATTTGTTTGTATGAAGACTGTCCTGTGAATTTTCCTGAAATTGGGAGTGATTTTTCCTTCAACTTGTTGAAACAGACTCTGAAATTTTAAGATTAATTTTTGTGATGGTTCTCTTATGAAAAAATACAAGTTTTGTTGAAATACTGAAACAGCGCAGACAAGGTACAACAGGTAAGATACGGCGAGACAGTTCCTTTGTGCAAGAGAAGATATTTTGTAATAATTATTTACAAAATTTAGAACCGTTAAATCTTCAAAAATTGAGCTATGAATTAAGTGCCATTTAATGGTCAAAAATTTTTCGTAGTGCAGATTTATAGGCAATTCATGGCTGGAAAAAAAAGAAAGCTCCCAGCACTATCATGATGTATTGTCAATTACAGCCTGTTAATCACCCCAAATTCTAATTTTTCACATCGGACAATCAATTATTTTAATTTTTTCACAGCAAAAATACAACAATCATGAACATTTGAATTACTGTTTCTCATAGGTTTCAGCGTTCAGGAGCGACAGCAGACGGCAAAGAATAGTTTATAGTATTGGCAATGGCGATGAAAACAGTATTTTTGATATCGACTCCAACACCGGGCTCATCAGGATCAGCAACCCTGATATGTTGGATTATGAGCTAGAATCCGAGTTACACTTGGTCATCATTGCCCAGGCAGACAATAATGGAGTTCCTCTTTACGGGTATACGGAACTCACCATCTTTGTTCTCGACCAAAACGACAATGTTCCACGATTCACTCAGGATAACTACATGGCCACTGTTTGGGAAGGCAACAACAAGGGCACTTTTGTCATTCAGGTATAGTAATGCAAATAATTTTATTATTTTTCTTTTCTTTTCAGTATCTGGATTGCTGAATTGCAAAACTGGTGTCTCCATCTGGGACGTCACAAACTTTGTGTCATATTTTTATTTTCTCTTTACAAGCCAGTCTACAAAATGTAATATAAGTGAAAAACTAGGAAGGAGACTTTTTTAATTGCACTACATCAAAAATTACTTGTTGAAATGAGAGAACAATGAATATGTGTAAAAATTGATAATTTGCTGAGCTGCAAAAACTTCTTGACCTCACTACTGGACAGATCGTGTTTAGTCATTTGCAAAAATGGGAAGGCTCAGAAAATGGGTTTTCCAAATGGGAAGACTGGCATAGGTAATCACGTGTATTTTTGCAAAGAGCTGTAAAAATCACATACGCAAAATTACAGCAACTTTTATGTACAGAGCCCTAAAAAGATCATCACTTTTAAATTTTTGAGAAAAAAAAGGCCTCTAAAATGAGAAGATCAATTACAAACTGTATTCTTGGAGGTATGCCAATTTTGCTTTGAACAAAGTAGTCTGATTATCATGTATTATTTTTGATTTATTTTTCTCTTGCTCCAGGTTTCTGCAACGGACATGGATGCTGGCAGCAATTCTCGTTTGACCTACCACATTGTTGATGGAAATCACGATAATGCCTTTGTCATCGAGCCCTCATTGTCAGGCATGGTCAAGACCAATATTGTGCTTGACAGGGAGATCCGTGATTTTTACAGGCTTACAATCATTGCAACCGACGAAGGAATGCCGCAGTTGACAGGCACAGCAACGATTCAAATCAGCATTGTTGATGCCAATGATAATTTGCCCACATTCCCACCTCACAGTGTGATCACTGTCAGAGAAGGTAAGTCCATCTCTAGTTTTGTGTGAAACCCATTTTATGCGTAGGCGATTGAAGCTTTTTTTGGTAGTGGCGTTGAACAGGTTTTCTTCTAACATTTTATTCCTTCAAGATGGTGCCAGGATCCTTATCTTGAAGTAGTGTCGGACTGAAGCAAGGAAACATGCCTCTGAGATGTTTCATAAGTCATACGATCCAGCATTTGAGGCCTTTGCCAAGAAATCATACTTTTTAATCAGTTAATAAAAAGCAGATAGAAAATTCCATATTTTAGAGGTTTACCTATTTTTAGGATTTCTATCAATGTAAGAACACTCAGACCTACTTGTCAGATTACTTTAACAAACGATACCATCTGTAGGTCAATTTTAATAGGATATAAACTCATGGTGTTAGCCTTTACATTTTGATTTTCTCTGAGGCACTCTACCTGAGAAAGTAGACATTATTTTGCTTGTTCTTTTATTGTATCAGATTTATTCAAAGGCATCAGCAAATTGTTTCATGCCATTGGAGTGAAACTTCCTACATTGCTGAAAGTGTACTTGAAATCAACTTATCCCTAAATTTTACCATCACGCTTCAATCAAATTTCACTAAACATTTCCATGCCCAAAGCTGGTTTCTTGTTATGAAACTCTAGTGTAATTATCTTTTCCTCTGAAAATAGGAATGGAGGTTGGCAGTGTTCTTACTGCTGTCACTGCAAATGATGTTGACACAAATCCATCACTCACCTATGCATTCACCGAAGATACCGACCCAGAGGCTGCCTCAATATTCAGCATTGACCGTTTCAGTGGCAGGGTTGCCCTTAGCAAAAGCCTAGACTTCGAAACTCAGAGAGAATATCGTTTGGGAATCAAGGCCTCCGACACGGCTCACTTAGCGCAAACGGTGCTCACCATTCATGTCAGCGATGACAATGACCATGCTCCCAAGTTTTTGCAACCATTCTACCAGGCCACTTTGTCAGGTAAACATTAATCACTCTTTTAAAGTAATTTGATGTGTAATTTCCAGGCGAGCAATAAATTATGAGGGATTACCTTATCATATGCGCCGTGAAATGCGTTGAATAAAAATCTTGTCAAGAATGAGAAAAAGCTAATTTACATTGATACATTCAAGTCTCTGAAGCATGTATTTCAAACCTTTGTATTCTGGAGATGATCTGAAAATTTGAAGGCATTGAATTTTATTTTTCACGCAATGTTTTAAAACTGAACTTTTGTGAAGATTTTGAAACATCAAGGCCCAATCAGATTAGCAGGTCCTCATCCCAGTTCATAGTAAGGCCCAAAAAATAGTTTTTAAATCTAAAACAATGTTTTTTGTGACCGAAATTTTTTAGTGAAAATGAGTAGCAATTGTAGGTAGCAGCTGTATTATAGCTCATTCTTAATTTACTGGGTGAAACCCTTCAAAAATACTCTTTACTTCTTTACTAAAGTATTTTCGAGATGCACCTTACCAAGATGTACTTTCATGCTGAAAAAACACCTCTGTAGATCTTGCTACTTTCAGCCTCCCTGAAAATTTCCCCTCTTCAACTATCAATTCGTTGTAAAATAATTATCTAATGTTCTGTGTTTGTCTGATTATCCTTTCAGAGGGCACTCCATATGGAACTATTGCCACCGTTTTTGCCACTGATGAAGATTCCGGTCAAAATGCCATCATCCGATATAGTTTTGTCAATCCAACAGTCGGATTTTACATTGACGATAGTACAGGATCCATCTCTGCCAACCGTAGTCTTGTCAGCGCCAGTCACATGCAAGCGGTCAGTACACTTTTCTCTCTATTTTGTAATTACCTAATTCAAGACTTGTCTAAATATTTTTGTACTCTCAGTACATAAGTAAAATTTGTATCTTTATATAGCTCCAATAGAATCTTTCGTAGCAAGAAATTTTGATATTCGTACTGACTGAATTCACAATGTTCTTAGAATTCAATATGTAGTTTATAACTCATATTAGTCAGGTACCGAATGTACTTGAAACCTGCTGATAGGTAAAAATATGACTTTAAGTAACATTGATAAATTCCTTTTTTCAGGGTGTGGTTGATCTGATAGTGTCAGCTACAGATGGAGGTAATCCAGCCAGGTCGAACACTGTTCCCGTCAGAATCTACATTGCAAGCAGTAGTCATGGGTCTGCATCTAAATTCATACAGGACGAATTTAGGTAATGATAATTTTTTTTGGATGATTTAATTTTTGAGGTTTGAAAGTTGCTCTCTAGATAATTTTAAAAGTTTACCTTTTTTGTCACAATAAATTACAAGTTTCTCTTACTGTCTACAAAAATTAAAATCAAAATAAGAAATGTACCTCCTAAATTTTCAAAGTTGCGTTTTTTTTTCTTGCAATTTCTTTGATTTATCATTATTTTCATCTATTCAATGCATTGAGATATGTAAGATTTTTTGGAGGTAGGATGTTTATGGATTGAAATTTTAAAGAGTTCGGATTCTTTGCATCATTTCAGTTGTTTCTAATAATCGTTTTTGTTTTCAGGGTTTCAATTCGTGAAAAGTCATCTAGAGGCACAACAATTTTGAAAATGATACCTGGAGGTGTTGTTGATGAGTTTGCTCAGTTTAATATCATTTCAGGAAATGATGATAATGTCTTCCAAATTTTAAGGTTGGTACACTAGCTTTTACTGCTTTTACACAACTGTGGTAGCAATTCGTAATTTGAAATGCAACATTCATGTTCTTACAAAATATTCTGCATTGAACATCCTAAAGTTTAAGTTTTTATCATCTCTTAAATTTTGTCCTCTTAGTTACCTCTTCTTGTAGCTTTAACAGTGAAGACTAAGGACTGCCAATTTTTTTATAATTTTTTGACACACAAGGAGACTACAAAATTGTGTACTTTGGATGCGGAGTTTCAAAATCTCCCTTCCTAATTTATTTTTTCAAAAGGAGACCAAACCAAAGTCATGCCTCAAAATTTTTACAAAATATTCTTCACACAGAGAAGAAAAATCACCAAAGTTTTGAAGAAGTGACGTCCAGTAGTTTTTCATGTTTCAAAAATGAAGTATGGTAGTAAGTCTGCAGTGCTGCAAACCGAGACATGCGTTTCCTCAGTTTCATCATCGATATGTTGCTTCTCGGGTGTTATAAGGGGAAAGCATTGCTTGTTGAATTTGAGGAGGATTTTATGTTAATGATGCAATCTTAATCGATTTTTTTCTTTTCATTTTATTTCTCTACTTTTATTCTATTTTTAAATATAGTTTGACTTGAGCAGTTTTTAAAGTTATCATTGTGTTTTTCTTCCCTCACTTTAAATGGTAGATCACTGTTCTATTTTGTTTGGCTTCAATGATAGTAAGGTAATTTCTTTTAATTCTTCCAAAGTAACTGACTTTATTTTTTCTCCTTTCTAGCCCCACTGGAGAGTTGGTTTTGGTGAAGGATGTTGACCGTGAAGTGCGAGATATCTATTCTCTACAAGTGACATCTCAGCGCAATTCATCATCTGCTCTTGTTCACATAAGTATCGAAGATTCAAACGATAATGCTCCACAGTTTCTCAGCCTTCCTCCTAGTGTTACAGTGAGTGAGGGAGCACCAATAGGACATTCCATCATCCAAATATCTGCAACAGACGCAGATCTCCCACCCAATTCGGACATTCGCTTTGATATCACCTCTGGCAATGATCAGGATTTGTTCAGTTTAGATCCAAATACAGGTATTCTGACGGTGAAAAACTACCTCGACTATGATGGTGGTATTTCAGAGCATAATTTGGTCATCAGAGCATCTGATAGTGCAAAACCTCCAAATGACATTTTCCTATCAACGATTACATCACTGAAAATTCTCCTTGAGGATGAAAACGATAACTCACCTAAGTTCCCTGTCACTGAATACTTGGAATTTGTTGGAGAAAATGAGCCAATTGGTTCTGCTGTGTTTATGGCTCGTGCAACAGATGCGGATAGAGGAATTTATGGTAAACTAAATTACTCTATCCTCACTGCAGCAGCTTCAGGATTTGCCGACTATGATGATTCCTGGAAGTTATTCAAAGTTGACTCAATGACAGGCTTGGTTACAACGAACTTTGTATTTGATTATGAGACTCGTAGTCGTTATGCATTCACGTTGCACTGTAGTGATTCTGGTGGCCGTGCCACTAAAGTACGAATTCGGGTCGAAATCGAAAGCAGAGATGAGTTCCATCCACAATTCACGGAGCGCACCTTCAAGTTTGTTCTTACCGGTTTCTATCTACCTGTTGGATATATAATCGGTCATGTCACAGCCACCGATAGGGACAAGGGACCAGATGGAAGAGTCGTGTATCAGCTAACAACGCAACACTCTTATTTCAAAATTAATCGTACAACTGGCGCAATGATGATAAAGAAGAAACTAGACTCAGGCCTGGAAATCAGTCAAGATATTAGTTTAGTCGTTACAGCCAGCTCTGGGAGACAGGGATCTTTGACGAACACTAGCATTGTTGAAATTAGTTTTGATCCTACTGCAAGTCACGGTACTAACTTGGCCAGTAGCTCAAACAGCAATACAGTCTCAGTTTCATCCAGTAGTGTTGCAGACTGGGCCATGGGCCTACTTATCGCATTGATACTATTGATCTTAGCCTTCGGTGCTTTATTCCTGTTTCTACACGTGCGTAATCGTCGGCACAAGAAGATTAACAAGCCAGGTTTGAACAGTGGACAAAGCACGGATAATTTTGTAGATGCCAGTAGTTTTGACACGATTCCAATTCGCAATAGTGGGGTTGCAGGACCTGCCAGCCAATTTGGACCCCCGAAATACGATGATATCCCAACATATCGGAATAATAATAGCAGTTCAAATTCGGGAGCAGCAACAACTTCTGAGCTCTCAGGCTCGGAACAGTCAGGGTCGAGTGGCAGAGGCTCTGCTGAAGATGGTGAAGATGTTGAGGATGAAGAAATCCGAATGATCAATGAAGGTCATCGACCTTTGAAGGAAGAGGATGCAATATCCCAAGTGTCAGTACAAAACACGCAAGAGTATCTGGCTAGACTGGGAATTGTTGAACATAGATCTGCTACAGGGAGTGGGACTGGGCGGCACACGTATGCTGAGCCTGACCTCTCAACATTACTGTATCCAAAGTTGGGCAGTGATAGAGGAAGCACGACTGATGAGGTAGATCGGAGTAGCGCCTCAAACGGAAGTCGGGGGGCCAACGTCTTATTCTCAGAAGTGCCATCAGGCAATCAGCCATCAATGACTGGTTCTCTGAGCAGTATAGTTCATAGTGAGGAAGAGTTAACCGGTAGTTATAATTGGGATTACCTCCTAGACTGGGGTCCGCAGTATCAGCCTTTAGCTCACGTCTTCTCCGAAATAGCACGGTTAAAAGACGATACTGCTTCAATCAAAAGTGGTGCTAGTGGGACATCAAGTGGGAAGAAAAGTTGTCCACCTATCAAAACACTACCTCCTCCTCTCTTGACAAATGTAGCTCCTAGGTCAATAGCAGCTCCAATTCTTTCAAGTCGGACACCACACTTGTTCCCCCAAATACCTCGGTCGCCAATTAGTCACGACCCTGCCAATTTTTCATCAGCGGCCATGTCGCCCTCATTTTCACCCTCTTTATCTCCGTTAGCCACAAGGTCACCATCAATATCGCCTCTTCACCCTCCATCGCATCATAGGCAAACCACTGAGACGGAACTAAGGATTTAGTAGTAGCTAGTGCAATTCTAATTTATTCTAGTTTATTCAACAAATTGTCAATACAAACCTTTTTCAACGTTTTGTCTGGGTCCTTGCTCTCCCCATCTTCATTGTGATATAGTTATGGAATCAAATTTTTAATTTTCAAAATGTGTTTAATGTTAACCTAGTGATAATTAGGGTGTACAGTTAATTCTATTCTTTTTTCAATTACCAAAAATGAGATTTAGTTAGGCGTGTACCTAAGTGTAATTACTTCTGTATAGAATTTATGTCATCTGATTTTTTATCGTTTTCCAATAAGTCTTGCCCTCAATTGTGCCAATGAAATTAATCATCATTAATGGCAACAATGTGCTGAAGATGGACATTCAGACATAATCTCTAATTCTAGATATCTCACCCTGCCAAAGTAGTTAAACCCAAGTAGGATTGATTTATGTTGTAACTGCCATAAATTATTTTCCTCATTTGTGATCTGCAATTTATGTATCATTGAAAATTTATCCTCTGTAGTGCTCAATGAGACTCCAGCAGATTCTTGTGGGAGACAACAAATTAAGGATTCTTCTTGAAAAAATGTCCTCCTAATCGATTTTATCCATTGACTGAGAAAATAATTCCTAAGGAAAATCAATGTCTGAAGAGACAAACAAAAAATGTGCCAAAATATACATATTACATTTAACCTATAAAATGACATTTTTAATATGAGACTATAAATATCATCGTTGTATCTTTAGCCTTGTTTTTTTATGAATGTTAAGTATGAGTATAGTCCATATATGCGCCAAATTTTTTCTCATTTATGAGGTATGCTTGATTTTTGTGAAATATTTGGAGCCCCGTCTTGAACATCTGCTTCAGCTTTGATTAGAAAATTTCTTACATTGGTTGAGGGCTGAAACTCTGTTGATGTATGATTGTACTTTGCTTGTAAATGAACAAATTACAAACCTGTAAGTGTACAAATTGTAATTTATCCTTGTTATGTGTGCTCTAAAACGGAGACTGATGAAAAATATAGGTGTGTAAAGAGCCTGTGGCTCTGAGATAGGCCATTTTAAAATGCAAATATGATCAAAAAGTTGATCGCTAATTTCAATTTGAAAGGAGAAGTATCTTAAAAGGATTGCACTTTTGCTCAATTTTTTAAATAATGCAATCTGTTAGTCAGTAAATTAAGTTTGCTCTTTACGTATGTATTCACTTTACCAAAAAACTGAATTTCAAGAAGTGAAACATTTCTGATGTTTAAAAATAGTGACACATTGATTGAACAATGCTGATTTTATGTATCAGAGACATAGGTAACCTTAGAATTTACATTCTCTCGGATAATTATGTTGGTAAAGCTATTTTTGTATTTACTAGAAATTTTTTAAAAAATTAACAATTTTTTTTCTTTGATTTGCAATGCAAATGAAAGGTGTTTAATGTTACTTATTTTCTTTAATATTTCTCTAAGGAAATACTCAATCTGAAAAAAATGTTCTCTTTACTTTCTCCTTTTTTAAAAGATAAAATCATACATCATAAAATTTTCTATCGGCCTATCCCTATTCTCATACATAATGATGACAGTAGGAGAGTTACTTATAATTTTTATCTCCGTCACTCAGTATTATGCTTTTTGTTCTCTGATTACTTAATAATTTATTAATTCTGATTGTATGTAATTCTATATATTGTACAAATAAGACAAATCATGTTTGTGAATTTGCTGTAAATGTGTATGTAAATTTTGTATAATGTACAAACATGTATCATTGTAATTATATCACTAGGATTACAAGTTCAGAACAATATAAAATCAAAACCAGTCCTCTCAAACAGTTATATTCATACTGTTTTTGATATATAAAGAAAATATTAAGAAACATGATTTCATAAATGAGTAAATTTAAGATGTAAGTATGAATTTTTACTCGGAAAGAAATGAAAATGAACGAGAAAAGCAAGAATTACTTCACGAAGAAGATAATTTTACCATCAAATTAATCTTAAATATGGAAAGCCAAAGTTTCAAACCACGTATCTCTATTGTGATGTTTCAAAATTCCTGCTCCTACTTTATTTTTTTGAAAAGAAATAAGCCAACTTTATAGCTTGAAATTGATGCAGAATTTTCTGCTAACAGAAAAGAAAAATTGAGGAAGTTTTTAAGAAATTGCATTGACTAGTATTTCAAAGAAAAAATAAAGTACGATAAGAAGTCTGCAACTTCGCAAATGGAAATACGTAGCTTCGCACCATAGCCATCGATATGTCGAAGGTTAATCGGAGAATATTTCATTGTATGTTCCATTGTTTATCAGTTTACAACCTACTCATTCGTAGGTTTATTTGCAAGTGGCATATATGTGTTATTCCAATTTTTTCCGACCGTCTTTTCATCTTAGTACTACCGAAAAGTATTCATTACTTAAGAGACTGATCTTTTTTTCAAATACGTATTACTTTAAAATGTATTTTATAGGTTGTTTATTTTGAGTACTTATTTGTTTTTTAATTTGCTGTGTAGACCTTCAGACCAATTTTTTTTTTTCAACTTTTTAAATGTTCAAGAGAAATTTTTTCTCTCTTTAAATGGCTTATCAGGTGTAGTTAGTATCATTTTTGTATCAACGACTTATTAAACTTCAAAATACATGTGACTGGTTCTGTGTGAGGGAGCTTTACCTTCTGGGAGACAATTTTCCACAACTTTTCACCATAACATAAACCACTTCTCACCACGCCCTAAGAACTTTGGTCTTGGAACTTCAAAATTATTATCTCTTGCGATTTCTGAGATTTTAGGGTCACTTGTGCCAAAATCTCCAGATTTTCTTCTTGCGTGTATTTTCGAAAAGTTAAGGGAAATTTTCTCCCGGAAGATATGGTCCTTTTTCACGGATCCAGCCACATATTTTTCAAGAGGCCATAATTTATTTTGAGTTAACTCTCAGAGGAGTCAAACGGGCCTCTATTCAATTTTTACTGGCATTCTCTTTTTCAGTCTCTAAAATGAGTCTTTTTACACCCTCCAAAGGTGTATCTGTATTTTCCTTAAAATGGTCAATCTTTCATGAATCTAAGTACCTAAAATCAGTTTTTTATCTTGTGCCATTTCGATAAAAGAAAAAACTTTGCAAAAATTGGTTATGTGTTCAATCTTGATAGTAGTTCAGCTCCTGGAAACATTTAAAAGAGGCAGAGAACTGGAGGTTTTTCTGTTATTTAAGTGAGCTCTTATTGAGAAATGATGCCCCATAATTGCTTAAATAATCCTATGGTGTTTTCCAGTTGTCATTTTTTCCTTCTAACTTGTTTAATAACTTCTTTTATTTTATCCATGACGATTCTTGAGATTAATCCTTCTGAGTAAAAGATAATTTTCAAGCTCTTGTTATGTTAATATTTGCTTCAGCCCTCTGTATTAACTTGAATTATTTTTTAGTTCTCTCACCCTCCTAGCTCAATTACATTACTTTAAAATTTATGTGTCAATAGTGTAACCAGAAAAACATGCATCTTGATTACTGTGTTTTGAAGATTTCAATTTTAATCTTTTCAGAGGAAAATTAAAAAATATTTTTACATGAAATTTTGAGGAGATACTATGAAACAATGGAAGAAAAATCGCGTGAAATTTTAAGGATCAAAATGGAAGGTTTCCCTTCACCAAAAAAAAACCTGGCAGGAACTTTATCTCATCACAAATCAAGACTCATGGTTTTCTAGTTTCACAATCGATCTGTCGGGTAATACAGCTATTTACCCTCGATGACTGATTTTATATTTATTTTTATTTTTTTTATATTAACTAATTCTTATGATTTCCTGGAATTTGTCCTGACTGTAAAATGTGTCATTTTTCACATTTTAGCTTTTTTTTACACTTATTTTGTGCAATTATTTCTGAAAGAATGTTAAGTGCCTCAAACAATAACATGCCACCCAGGGCTAATTCCTAGTGCTTTTTAGCTAATTCCCCTACACAGAACAGATAATTTCTTTCTTATTGATTAACTTAAAAGCCTCATCAATTCGTGCCAATTAATTCAATTTTTTTTTAAAACTGATATTTCCCTTACTTGGCGTCTACAGACTTACTTTTTTTCATAATGCTCAACTGAAGTCTGATGAAAGTAACTTTTCCTCTTTTTTTCTGTACATTTTTTCCTTATACAAATTGAGGGCTCAATTTAGAGATATTTCCTTCAAACAATTTTTATTGAAAACAGTCCTTCCAGTGAGGAAAAAAAAGTTAACTGGACTTCTACAACATTGATTTAGCTTCTATCAAGGAAGTCAGATTCATTCTGTTTTCTGAATAGATACCCCTCATTTAAACTTTAACTTGTTAGTCTTTTTTTAACCAATTTTTGAACCGGTACATCAAAACCTTTGGCCATTTTAATGAATAGTTTCCATAGGTGGTTTATCTACGTATTAATCAGTGTACTTATTTGTATGAATTCTGGTTTAAGCCATCAAGCTTGTTATAAAGTTCCTTTTTAGTCTGGCCATATATTGTAACATACAAGAGATATCAAGCTGGCTGTATAGTGTGTATAGTTTAACTAAATTGTAATTTTGTTCTAAATAAATGTGAAATACCTTTTTATGTACCGGCGTATTCTTCTTTAATTCCTGAATTCACTTTCATCCCAAAGACCCAAGTCTTGTAAATGAGTCAATTATTCCAAAGGACATGTTTTGAGACTCTGTGCATTGGGAGCATCAGGTTTAAATATAATTAATTTTTTTCTAAGAAAAGCAAATTCTACATCACACCGGCTGCAGTCAAGTGATGATCTGGCAGTAGAGTGGATCTTAAAAACATGTGTAGACTCTTTTCACCTCTGAAGTTGAGAAAACTAAATAATTACTCAATTCTCTAGAAATGTGATGATAAGGAAACGAGATGCCCTATTCTCAAATCCAAGTATGGATAGCATGCCTGCTAGAAATTCGATCATTCAGTAAAATCTGGCGTTTGTATTTGAATTAAAAGTCTTAAATTGAAGGCAATTTAAGTGTGCTGTACTCTAATTTACAAGAACGGGTTCTTATGAGGATTATTTTCGGGGATAGGAAATCAGAGACTGATTGAAAATAGAGAAAGAGAAATTTATTGTACCTATGCTAAAATTAAAGGCACATGATTCTCATATCACAAGTAAATAATGCAGAAAAATTTGGTTTCGAACACTAAATTAAACGGTGTCTACAAAATGTAACAAATCTTAGGTTCCTAGAAAAAAATGAGTTAAAGGTAATTTCTAATACAATAAAGTTGTTTTGACATGATCAATTATGAGCGGTCTGGAAAACTCATTGGAAGTGCTGTTCAGTTGCTAGCTGTGCTTCCAAGGAGGTTGCCTGTCAGGCAACACACCAGACCATTAGAACAAACCTTGAAAAAATTTGACAGGCATGGAAATAAATGGTGTTAAGAAACTTGCAAAAATTTAAGGAGACAATCACTGAAAATATTAGAGACTCCCAAGGAAAACTTAGCAGAAATAATTAGTTTTATGTACATTCTGACACTGACTGTCCCTTTAAGCTACCTGCTACTTAATAAATGATTGATTTTAGAAATGTAAAGAGAGATGAATCGTTGTTATAAATTAATAAAGTAACTTCTCCAGAGTGCAATATCAAAAGAGAAAGTTTTTCAGTCAAGTTTTTCGATCCAGTTACTAGAAAGAGAACCTAATCGACATCTCTCAGTTGTACAGGTGCAGAACTCGTGTTATCTTATTTAACTTGAACTGAGAGAGAAAACTGTAATAAAAATTTGATACATAAACGAAAAACAAAAACTAGTAACTAACCTAAATCTATTAAAAGCATTCTTGGAATCCCATTTTAAAACAAAGTTTGATAGCCTTCAAAAATTCGAATTTAAGTACACTCCTCTGGAGCTAATTGAAGAATCTTGAGGAATTCTCATGTTAAGGCTCTAGAATTTTTGTGACAGTATAAAACAATTGAAATATAAAAATAATACCCTACTTCAATTTATTTCACAAGAAGACGAGTTCTATAGGTACCACACAATTTCTGATTCTGGAATGCATTTTGCATGAACCGCTTTTTTTCTGTAAAATAAAACTTTGTCAGTGATTAAAATCAGATCATGGTAATCTTCAAAATGCCATCTTATTTTCTATAAAAAAAGTCTTTTTGACTGATTCAGTTTCACACCTATTATCTGCAGTTTCTAATTTCAATAAAAGATATGCATTTAATGTTTATAATTACTTTTCTGTGGGGAGAAATGCAACGAAAATAGTAGAGTTTGATCATGGAGGGTCAAGAAAAGCGTTTCAGAGATTAAGAAATGGCATATGTTTGAGCTGTGTGATTCAATTCAAAGTAAGGACACTTGGGTGATTAAATGTAAATGTTGAGAGATGAATTGGAAACGTAATCCTAAAAAATATTCAGAAATTCAATAAATACCTGATGCGTTTTTTTTGTTTACCTTTTTTGGAGCAACGAAAATGTTGCAGTGACAATGGAAACACAGCACTGATGGCAAATGATAGAAACATATTCAAAGTATGAACATTAAAATTGAATCAGTGGATTTTGATCTGCAAATGCCTGCTGAAAAAAGCATCTAATAAACTGTGTGCAGTTGCTTCGATCAACAAAAGGCTCAGAGAGACTTACAAATTTTGCGATAACATCAATGCAAGTGGTATTTCAAACAATACACACCAAAACTTGATGTTTTGGAAAACAACGTTCATGAATTAAAGTAAAACCTCGACTAATTTTGAGTTGCTGAAGACATTATTACTTGAGGCAAGAAGGAAAAATTCTTGATAGGATTACTGCCATGCTCAGAAGGAAAAGCACCGTATGAGCATTTAAGCTTTGCTGAATCTCCTACGATCAAATGCAAATTTCTTGAGAAGAAATTTGGCAACATTTGAACGTTCATACAGCGTTTTTCCTCGGCATGGCGTTTCCATTGCAATGTTGCTACACACAAATATGAGCCTTTGATGAATTGTAGATGAAAAATTTATATAATCAACTCCCACAAAATATAATAATGATGAGTTGAAATGATTTTCAGTTGTTTACTGCAACTTTTGTTGCATTAAACTGCAACACCGCAAACCCTGATACGCGCTTCTGCAGTTTCACCATTAAGAAGCTCATTGACTGTTGTTTGTTTGGAATATAAAGAATCAAGATACCTCAAAATTTAGGTGTGCAAAAATTGCAATGAAAACATGGCCAAGAATCAATTTTATGAAGATAATCATTGAGCATCATAAGAGATTCAGATCTGGCGAGAGATGTTGTGCCAAACCTTTTGATACCACACATCAAGAATTTAAAGAACATCACACTGATTCAATCATATTAAGTACATACTTACTTAAATACTTAAGTAGAAAAATCTTCAAAAAAAGTAATTTTAATGAGTTAAACCTAGGTACATATGAGAATGAGACCATTAGACTGGTTGCCATTTCAAAAGATTAAACATTTTCTCTCAGGTAACTGGAGCTCTGCCTTAAAATATTGTAGTAACTATGAATGACCAGAACGAAGTATATATTAAGGACTGAAACAAACAAAATAAAATAGATTAAAATTAGCAAAATCCAATGAAATATTTCAATAATCAAAAATCAACACTGAAATTCAAAACATGGAAACTGTTGGTTGGTTTTCCTTCCTGATGAAACAAGAATAAAGATTTAAAATGTCACATTTTAAGATACACTTTTTTTTATCATTGCTGCAAATTCTCTTTCATCGTCACTCAAATTTTTGCCTTATCATACCATTTTCCTGATTACTTATATTGAACAGAAAATTGCTTAAGGACACGGTTCACCAATGCAAGAAAAAGAAAAAGCAACAAACACTCCTTGTGGGAAAATAATATTGCTAAATTTAAAAAAATTAATAATAATTAATAATAATGCAATATTAATTAATAATTAATATTGCAAAATTAGTAATTAATTGTAAAGCACACACAGAAAAAAAAGTATTTGAGCAGAGAGACTTTAAAATTCCAAAACGACAAGAGTTAAAGTTGCCAGATTATGCGACAGAATGCGGCTGTTTTACAAGAACTTGGATGGAAAAAGTGCTGACTTTTCAGCACTATCTGGCACGATCTTGGCAACGACTCATTATAAGGGCTAATGAAAAATAAGCGAATAATATTCCTGAAAACTATTGATGCCAAAGAGGGATGAACCATCTGTCAGAAGATAACAGTTTCTTAAGGAGTGATACATTTTTGAAAAAGCAAAACTACAGATGGGCAGGGCCGGATTTACCTACTTGCCGCCCATGGGCCGCTTGTATTTTGCTGCCATCTTCTCATTCGTTTTGAAACATCAATAAAGACCATCAAGTGAACGTTCCGGAGGGGTAAGGATGCGTAAGACGCGTTTACTCGAGTTGGACAAATTTTTTGCGAAAGCTCTGTCAATACTGCTAGCAAAAGTTAAGTTTCGTAAACCTATCTCTGTGTGGTCAAGGCCTTCCATTTACAAGAAATGAACGAAAAAATTATGAAAGAACAAACATAAATGTGATTTAATAATTTTAACTTCCGTTGCCGCGCCGCGCTGATTGCACTGTGTTTGGCGCAATGCGTGAAGTATTCCTACGGTCTTGGAGGCGCTGTGCGTTTCACGCCGACCGCTGTTGGACGCGCTGTGTTTGACGCAATGCGTGAAGTATTCATGCAGTCTAGTAGGCGCTGTGCGTTTCACACCGACCATTGCTGACCACACTATGTGTTCAACGCAATGCGTGAAGTATTCATACAGTCTTGTAGGCGCTAATAAGGTCTCGATCAAATTTCCAAACCAATTACCATCGAAGTGTCGGGAGTCATCGGTCTTAAAATCATTAATTTGCTTAGTTTTAAAATGAAAACTTGGCAGAAATGTTTCTTGTGGCACTCCATTCTAATCAAAATTTGACGGCTCGTCCAATTTTGATCAAAGAGGACTGTTGCATGGTGACCATCCGTCATCAAGTGGTCTACTTTGATCAGAATTGGTTCGGAATTTGATCGTGTATCCAGATCTATAGGTGTTTCATGCCGACCGCCGCGCCGAGGGCTTCTCCTTTTCATCTCAGGTCCTCGTCAATTCGTCATCATTGCTGTTTGCGCCGCGCCGTTCCAGGCCAAATTGCGTGTTTGGTTTCTCTCTTAACTCGACTAATTAAAGGTGCTGTCTCTTGTATCACTGAAAGACGACGAAATTAGAAATTACTATACTCTCAGGAAATGAGAGATTTTGTCGCCTTTTCTCGTATGTAATTCTTTTTCTGAATCCTATTTTTTTTATACACCTACATTTAAAAAATTTGAAAAATTTGGCGCCATGGGCCGCGGCTCATGTGGCCACCCCCTAAATTCGGTCCTGCAGACGGGACAAAATACTGCTCTGGAATCACTGGAATTCTTGGAAAATACGAGATGATGTACCAAAAACTGTGTCTGCAGAGGAGAAAGAACAGAAGAGAAGGTACTTACATCCATCAAAAAATGAAAATATTTTCTCTGAGAAGTTCAGTCTTGGAGGCACTCCTGATACGATGTCAAATAAGACAAAAGCAAAACCAAGTCCGAACACGATTAATTCGAAAATAGCTGTGATAGATAGGAGCAACATGAATGGCACGAAATATTTTGGTTGACTCTGAAAAATAGAATGAAAAATTACGATGAAAAAATAAATAACTAAAATGATGGCACGACTTTTATGCTTCTGCGAGAATGTCTCCAAGAAATCATCAGCATCAATTGCCTGATTAAAAATGAAATTTAATGAGGTTGCTCTCTTCCCAGGTAAAATTAGAATTTTTACAAATTATTCAACCTAACTGAAAACTGAATTTAACAGGGTGTCTGGTTTTTCTTCATTTAGGGAAATCCTGATGAAATCCTAATTTTTCCTGATTTTTGACTGCTAAATCCTGACTTTATAATTTTTCCAAATCCTGATTTTTGCGGAGAAAAATTAAATTCCCGCATAAGCGTATGCGAGACCAGAACTCTAGAATTAGGCGAATGTAATTTCACAAAAATAGCTCTATAAAAAAATTCGATTGGACGGCCGACTTTTCTTAAATCCTGATTTTACTATCGATTTTTCCTCAAATCCTGATGAGATCGGGATTAAATCCTGATTGAACTCAATTTTGATAGAGTGACAATAAATTGTGATTACAGAGAATGTTGTATGTTGTCTGTCCACTGGCTGCAGACGCAGAGGGATCCTATTATTGAAATAGGTTGCAATTTTTCTTAGCATTTTTCTTGCGTTCTTCTTCCGGTCACATGGAACTTGCTTTATTCATCGTTTAAAATCGGCATTCATTGCCCAAACGCTGAATAAATATTGCAATTTTACTGCATCATTTTCGTTGGACTAATAAGTGTAAGCTGCTTGAGGAGTAGTACAAAATTAATTAAAGGAAGCAAATAATTCATTAATTGACGTTGATTTAACAATGAAATTTACCTTATGTACTCCGACGATGAGAACAAACGCTGTTATCAGACAGGCTAAGCTCATTACAATAGTTCCAAAGAGTTCCAGATCTGATATCACCGGACCTGCAAAACACATGCATACGAGGATTGGTAAAATAGTTGTTCCATGGAGTTAAATCTTAAAAAGTCCAATAATGATGGAATGAATGCTAATTAATTTTTTTTCTTTAAAATACAGAGAACTAATTTTACATCCAAAGGTACATTCTTTCTCCTAGGACGGAATCGAAATAAATTCAGTTAACAATAATAATGACTGTGTCCAGATATGTTAAAGAAAGATACTTTTTGAAATCTATTCTTTATCTTAAAAATTGAAAGAATAGAGTTTTGCAATGCGCTAATGTGGCCGGTTTAAAAACTTTTACGGTAGATATACATTTTTTTTGTTTGAAAAAACATAAAAAAATTAAATATTGGTTTATTCCAATTCAACGGCGTAAGTTGTAAGGAAAAAATATAGCCTAATCGTTCAAAAATTGATGATTTCAGCGATTTTACGTCGATTAAGTACCTAGTTACTGAGTCACAACTTCATCTCAAAGCATCGCAATTTTTCCATTGAATCGATGGCTAAGGTCAAAAATTGCGTATCTTGGATTGCAACGTTACAAATCTCCGTTCCTTCTTCAAAAGAAAACTAACGACAGGTTTTCTTGAATTTTCTTCATTAATTGAAACATGGAACATTGAATTGATGGCTGAGGTCAAAAATTGCGCATCTCCGATTGCAACGTAGCAAATCTCCGCTTCGATTTTAGTCTTCAAAAGAAAAGTAACGGAAGGTTTTCTTCAAGAGAAGAGCAATGACAGGTTTATTGAAACGTCTCCCAGACGTTTTCCCTGATTTCCCTGACACAAAAAAATTTCCCTGACATTTCCCGGTCCTCTAGGTCGCTAAACACCCTGCTGACTTTTTCCGGTCGTCAGAAATCCCCTGACTTTCCCGATTTTCCAAACTGCCGGCAACCCTGCCTCTCTTCTGTGCGGCATCAGTCTTCAATTCAAACCAGTAAAAAACTGGATTATGACGCGAAAGCCTTCCGTTGAACGTGCTGATGCAACATCCGCTGCTCTACTTCCGCAAGGCGGGCACGGGCTTATCAGTGAAAGCCTTATCAGCGAATGGGGGACAAAATCCGAGTGGACACCGAATCAGCTATCAGTGACAACATGGTCACCGATAAGCCAAGCGCCACGGCTGCCGGATAGAGGCCAGCGAGTCGATTAATCGTTATCGCAATATCCTGCTCGATACATCCCTATCTTAGCAGGGTAATTATCGATGAAGGTCATTCGATAACGATTCCAGTGGCGTAGCGTAAAGGATCGATTATCGATATTTCCCCATTTGAAGCTGTGGTAAAGAATCAAATATTAAAATGTTCGTTGCGAACACCCTTTCTATCGATATTTTTCCATAGATTTAATGGCAGATCAACCGATATATCGCAAAGCAGGCCACGCCACTCAACTATTCCACAGCCCTAGAGCAGAGGCGACGACTCAGGAGTCGCTAATCGTTCTTCTTTGCCAGCGAAAAACGCCGCATGAGCCTTCAGACATTGTCAAATCTCCTCCTTTTAGAGGAAATCTATGGAAAAGGATCGCTAAAGAGGGTGCTCGCAACGAACACGTTGATAATCGATTCTTTACCACAGCTCCATGCAAGTGGGGAAATATCGATATAATCGATCATAAACGCCTCGCCACCCTTTTTCATTCCCATTGGCGTAGGTGTTCTACGACCCAAGTCTGTCAGACTATGGTAAATTCATTCCGTATGGACGGGTGACCCAGAGACGGCTATGACGCAATATTGGGGCCCGTTCCTTCCAGCCAGGCGCCACACAGTGGGTCGAGTTAATAGAAGAGGTCGGACAAAATTTGGAAACTTTAAAAGCTTATGACTCCGTCCATACAAAACTGTGAGGTTTTAAAAGTAGTTCCCTTGGTTTTCTCCTGAAATTTTCATCTATATATGTCCTTTAGAATTTAAAATGTGGCGAAATAAACATCAAAATTTGAAGTTTTAGTCAAAAAGTTCATGTCCGACCTCTCTAATTGACTATATCCACTGTGCGCCGAGCTGGGCAGCGGGGCGCGCATCCTCCAGAAACAAACAATGGGGCTCGTCATCCGTTAGTTGTCGGTCATTGTCTTGCGGTAGCGTTATCAGGACGCTTGCGGCACGTCTACACGGACGAGCGTCTATCAGGAGGACTGACATCTATATCAGTACACGAGTGTGCAGTGTGCCGACAAAAAGCGGTTCGGCACCTCAAGCCGACAAGCCCGGGGGCTTATGTTATCGGGAGTTGGTGCGGGTGCGCCCCAAGATTATCGGGTGTAAGACGGCCTCCGCCTACTTCCCTCTTCCACCCAGAGTGCCTCGTCGTCCGTGGTTTCAGCCTGCATGATACACAGAAAAAACTTGAGAGGACCACACTGGAAAAAAACAAAAAAAAACCACATTGGATCTAGATTCCAGACTCTTAAAAATATTGACAAGAAAAAGTACTCTTTATTCAATCAGAATCTAACTTAAATCAAGAACCAAGCCTCCTAATTTGAGCGGATTCGTTTTGATTCAAGAAAAAATCCGATTGCATCAAGAGTATTTTTTCTTGACAATGTTTCCAAGAGTCTGGACTCTAGATCCAATGTGTTTTTTTTTCCGGTGCAGTTAAAAACTTCAGCTACATCAAAAAGATTTGTTTCTTTTAAAAAATGGCTCAACAACATAGGGGG